CTCCCTGAGTCCTCTCAATGATCTGGCTGGGCTTTTGGAGTCAGGCCCCCTCTTCCACTCCCTGCCTCTTTTCCCTGTGCCAGAGACCCCACCCTGTGCGCAAAGGCCTTAGGGTCCTTCTCCCCGAGTTCCCTTCACAATTCGCTGGACTTCAGAGTCAGGTCACCTCCCCCATCGCATGCCCCTTTTCCCTCTAGACTTTATTCTAAGGAGAAATGTTGTGTTTTTACGAAAGCGTTCTAGCTGCTGAGTGAATTGCACAGGCTGCAATGGAGGCAGGGAGATCGGTTGGGAGGCTGTCGTGCTTGTCAAGAGTTTGGTAGTTTGACCAGGCTGGGAGCAGTGGAGATGGAGAGGTGTGGGCAGATTCTAGGGATGTTTGGGAGGTAGGACTAGGGGGAAGAGTGGACGTAAGCAGCGAAGACAGCGAAGAGGCAGGGATGCCCCAGGTTCCTGCATGGGTGCCATGGGAGGACATAGAGCTGTCACTGGGATGAGGAAAACCTGGCAGAGATGGGGGGTGGACAGATGGGGAGTTCAGCCAGGGGCATGCCCAGCCAAGGTGCTAGGCCTCGAGGGTGGATCTTCAGCAGGGGCCAGCGGGAAAGTGGATCCCGTCTATGAGACCCTGCGCTATGGCACCTCCCTGGCACTGATGAACCGCTCCAGCTTCAGCAGCACCTCTGAGTCCCCCACACGGAGCCTGGTATGGTGGCCACCAAAGGGGAGCTTCAGGGGGAGGGGTGTCTGAGCATGACAGCAGGGCCAGGGGCTGAGCTCTTCCCTCTCTGTGTCCCCAGAGTGAGCGGGATGAACTGACTGAGGATGGGGAAGGCAGCATCCGCAGCTCAGAGGAGGGACCTGGTGACAGTGGTGAGCAGGGATGGGAATCGGGCAGGAATGGAGGACAGTGGGGGGGCCACTCCCTACTGCCTCACACCCTGCCCCCACCATGGCATCTCCAGTATTCACAGCCCCAGCTGAGAGCGAAGGGTCAGCAGCAGAGGAGAAGAGCCCTGGACAGCAGGTGAGCCCGTACTGGCACTGAGCGCCACCCCCACACATCACCCCCCGCAGGCCAGCGTGGGAAAGGGGTATCACTTCTTGTCATCGATCCATAGGTGGATGAGAACACAGTGAGTGGAGATTCACTGCTCCCTCACTCATGCTCCGTCCCCGGGGCTGGGTGAGAGGCACAGGAGGCAGGGTGCTACCTTCTCCCACGCCCCCACTGCCTATTGCACTCACTCCTGCTCCCCCAAGGGCAGGCAGTTCCAGGGTGCGGCAGGCAGAGGGCTGCCCCCCCCCATGCCTGGTCCAGTCACCCGAGGGGTGGGAGAGCACAGCAGGTAGGAGGGTCTTTTCACTGTCATCGACCCGGGACCCACTGCCCCACCTCCTAGTTGCCCAGGGTAGGCATGCTCAGAGCAAATGGGTAGCTGAGGGAGTGAAGATTTCACCCTCCCACCACTGACCCAGAGCTTTTCCCACAGCCCCCTAAGCCCCCCCTGCGGAAGGATGTGGGGCCCATGTACTCCTACGTTGCGCTCTACAAGTTTCTGCCCCAGGAGAACAATGACCTGGCTCTGCAGTAAGTCCCCTCTGTGTCCTGGCCTAACTGGGCAGCTGCCTGGTGCCAGCCTCAGGGATCTGCCCTCCCAGACCTTGAAACATGAGTATGAGGGGGACCTTCAGGAACTTTCTCCTTGCACACTTGAGGCTGCTTAGCCCAGACAGGAGCTGGAGCTGCCCATGGTCTAAGAGTGAGTCATGCTAATGTCATTTCTCCTGACCCCTGCCTGGGCTGTCGTGTACCTGTGGTCACACAGTGTCCTCCCTCCGAGGCCACCAAGAATCCTCTCCCAGCTGTGAGGGGCACGCAGAGTATCCAGGTGCCTAGGGACTGTTGGGATGGAGAGGGGGCAACTCCCTCCTGCCGCATGTACCCATCTCTCTCTTCCCCAGGCCAGGAGACAGGATCATGCTGGTGGATGACTCTAACGAGGACTCCCACTGCCTATTGCACTCACTCCTGCTCCCCCAAGGGCAGGCAGTTCCAGGGTGCGGCAGGCAGAGGGCTGCCCCCCCCATGCCTGGTCCAGTCACCCGAGGGGTGGGAGAGCACAGCAGGTAGGAGGGTCTTTTCACTGTCATCGACCCGGGACCCACTGCCCCACCTCCTAGTTGCCCAGGGTAGGCATGCTCAGAGCAAATGGGTAGCTGAGGGAGTGAAGATTTCACCCTCCCACCACTGACCCAGAGCTTTTCCCACAGCCCCCTAAGCCCCCCCTGCGGAAGGATGTGGGGCCCATGTACTCCTACGTTGCGCTCTACAAGTTTCTGCCCCAGGAGAACAATGACCTGGCTCTGCAGTAAGTCCCCTCTGTGTCCTGGCCTAACTGGGCAGCTGCCTGGTGCCAGCCTCAGGGATCTGCCCTCCCAGACCTTGAAACATGAGTATGAGGGGGACCTTCAGGAACTTTCTCCTTGCACACTTGAGGCTGCTTAGCCCAGACAGGAGCTGGAGCTGCCCATGGTCTAAGAGTGAGTCATGCTAATGTCATTTCTCCTGACCCCTGCCTGGGCTGTCGTGTACCTGTGGTCACACAGTGTCCTCCCTCCGAGGCCACCAAGAATCCTCTCCCAGCTGTGAGGGGCACGCAGAGTATCCAGGTGCCTAGGGACTGTTGGGATGGAGAGGGGGCAACTCCCTCCTGCCGCATGTACCCATCTCTCTCTTCCCCAGGCCAGGAGACAGGATCATGCTGGTGGATGACTCTAACGAGGACTGGTGGAAGGTGACTTGACAGGGTGGGGAATGAAGGGACCCTGGCAGGCATCTCAGCATCCCCCATCCTCGGGGGCACTGCTCCCACCTTCTCTCCAGGCCCCAAAGACCTGTCCTTCTCCAGTCTCTGGCCCTGTCCTAGCCTAGTACCAACCCTTGGGCCTTGTGTCAGTTCTGACCCTCCCTCAGCTTTGCCCCTATGCCCACCTCAGGCACCTCCGGGCCTAGAAGCAACCCTGCTAGGGGCTGGAATACAGAGGCCCAGGATCCGGAGGGTGATGGCGTTGGCTGAGTGGGAACTGGGTCTCGAGAAAGCAGTGAGGCTGGGGCTGGTACTGGTGCTCATTGCCATCCTCATCCCCAGGGCAAGATTGGTGACCGGGTTGGCTTCTTTCCAGCCAATTTTGTGCAGCGGGTGAGGCCAGGAGAGAACGTTTGGCGCTGCTGCCAACCCTTCTCCGGGAACAAGGAACAGGGTTACATGAGCCTCAAGGAGAACCAGGTGAGCGCCTGGGGGCCCAGCCAGGACCTGTAGCGGCTGGAGAGAGTGGGTGTGGGAGACAGGTGACAGGGGCAGGGGCAAGTGCCCTGGTGGCAGAAGGGAAAACAGATTAGAAGTAATGGGACAGCAGGGTCCTCCCTCCATCCCCTGTTGGGGAATTTGGGCTGATGGCCCACAGAGGTAGGGGGCTGAATGATGTTAGAAGCAGCTTGGGGTAGGACAGGAGCACTGGATTAGGAGACCAGAGCTTCTGCTTCTGGCTTGCTGTGTAACCTCAGGCAAGTCCTTTCTCCTCTGTTACCTCCTCTGGGAAACGGGAGGGTAGGATGGGTGGGGGGTGGGGCGGGGCATTAGACAAGCTGATCTCAAAGGTCAGCCCCGAAGTGCTGCTTGGTATTTGCTGATGTCCTGTTTTTGCTGCTGAGCCCTGTACCCTCATGGCATCTGCTCCCATCACCCCAGCTAAGGGCTCCATCCACATCTGGCACTGGTCCCATCATCCCCTGGGTGGGTCTCCTGGGGGCCATCAGCAGGACTCAGGGCCAGGGCTGCAGGCAGTGCCAGGCCTCAGCTCCGCTCCGTGTCTCTCTGGCGTAGATCTGTGTGGGCATGGGCAGAAGCAAGGATTCTGACGGCTTCATCCGCGTCACCAGTGGCAAGAAGCGGGGCCTGGTGCCAGCCGACGCCCTGACCGAGATCTGAGAGGAGCCAAGAAAACCCAGATGCCGCCCTTGCTTCTGGCCCGGGAAGGGAGCAGGCATCCTTGTCCACACCCTTTCTCCCTCTGCCTCTCTCCTAGGGACCACTCACCATGGCTTAGGAGCCTTCTGCATTGATGTTTTGATTCTTGGCTAGGGTGACCTGAGTGGGTCGATCCTCTGGGACTTGGTGGGGGAGAGGAGAAAGTGGGAGGGGATGAGGAAGCTGCAGGTAGGTACACACAGTGCCCAGGTACCCCCAGTCCAATTGCAATGCTGAGTCCAGTCCTGGGGAAAGGTTCTGGGGAACGTCCTTGCTGCTTCTTCCGGAGAGCCTTCCCCCGCCCACGCCACCTTTGCATGCCTGACACACCCATCTCCCCACAGAGCCTCTGCTTGGGTCTATGTGTGTGTGTCCATGCATCTGCCCCTTGCAAGTGGGGCCTTGGGAGGGAGCCTTTCTGTGTCCCTCAGCCCTCTGCCCTGGATTGGGAGGGGATCCAGGGTCATGGGAAGGTCCTGAGCCCACCTCCTGGTCTCACCACCTCTAACACTCCGTCAATTCTCAGGAAAGCTCTGCGGGAATCTTTCCCATTACTTGAAACCTGGGCCGACACAGGAGGGGAGGGATGAGGTCTGGGGAGGGTGTGACAAACCAGAGACTGCCTCTCAAGTACAACGTTCATCACAGAGCAGCCTAACCCTACCCTTGTCCAGGGGAAAAGGATACCCAGGAGTAGCCTAGACACAGAAACCCAACTGAGAACAAAACCCTGGCCCATGCTTGGTCTAAACAAACCCATTTCACTGTCAGGACTCCAAAGCCCCTAGTCATGCAGAAACAACAAGCCAGGGGAGCCTGTGATTGTCAGCTCCTGTCCCAGGCCTCACCAGGCCCCTTCCAGGAGCCCCACCCTCAGGGCTGACCTTCCTAATCCCCTCTGTCCCGGCTCTGCAGGGGACAGGGCTGCTGTTGCAGGAGTCCCTTTTCTGGCTGTATCTGCTCCCTTGTCCTGGACACAGAGCTCTGAGAAGAGCAGGTGGGAGACAGACAAGGAAGGCGGAATGTTCTGTTTGGCCACCAGGAAAGGAGGGGGTAGGCAGCCCTGGGGGTGGGGTGGGCACACACAAAGAAGACCCCTCCTTTGCAGGCTGCTTTTCTCTGGTGCCAACCTCCCATACCCCCAAGCTCGGAGCCTCTTCTTGTGCCCTTGATTGTGCCAGCCAATGCCACCCCCATCCTGGGCACAGTCACACCCTCCTGTGCAGTGGGAGGGCCACAGATCCTCCTACCCAACAGCCCCTGTCCCACTTCTCCCCCACACAGGGGGGCTCAAGCCACACTGCCCTGTTTGCTGCCATGAGGCCCCCCCAGCAATATCCCAGGGGCGGGCCCGATGCCCACTGTACATGAGGCTGCATGATGGGTCTGCTGGGGCATTGCTGAGCTCCCAGACCCCTAATTAAAATGTTTCTTGTCCCAGCCTGTCTGCTCTGTGTATCTGATTGGGATGGAGGAAGGAAAGGGGCAGGGAGTTGGGGTGGGGGCTGGGGACACTAAGAGGGGACAAGGCTGAGGGTGGAAGAATTTATCAGAGGAAGGTGTTGGGGCTGGCACCAACATGGGCTAAGACGGCAGGGGTCCCCGTGCTCCTCTCCCCTTTCCCCCAGGCAGCCTGAGAAGGGCGGGATCTGAGGAGAGCCAAAGGAGAGAATGACCCCGAAAGACCTGAGGAAGGGGAGAAGGAGGTGTAGGGACGGGAGGGAAAGGGGGTGGGGCTGCGGTCACTTCCTGGCTCGATGCACCTGAGTCGCGCAGGGGGCGGGCACAGGGCGCACACCTCCGCCGTCAGGACCCTTCTTTTCTCACCCAGAGGTGCCTTTCGAGGCCGGCCGTACCCGGGGCCTGGGTGGGCCAATACCCACCCGAGATCAGCTTCACCCCCGCAGCCCCTCAAGCCCGAGAAAGAAACGCTGGCGGTGGGGAGAGTCGCGAACAGAGGGGCCGAGATGACTCAGTCGCCCGTCATCGGACGCCTGGCACCAAGGGGGCCGCCGGCGGCGCGCTGCTCCTGCCGCCGTGCCACCACCCACCCG